GTTCATTTATACGGTTTTGGTCGGATTTAGAAGTTGATGGTGTGAGGTTGATTTTTAAACGGTTTATAATCATTACCCAGGGACCAAAATATGCAGAAAGTGGCTAGTAAACAAAACTTCAGAGACTGCTGTTTCTAAAAGGATGTTTCATTGTAATCCTTGTATTATTATCTTAACAATGTCAAGCTATTACAAATTGCGTCCAATACACGCTATCGTGTATAGTCAATCATAACCCCCGATTCCACGCACTTTCAAATTGCGTACAGTGTTGAGGGCTCTTGCTGTTTTCACAGCGTACATTTCGGAGTTTTATTCTGAAAAACGGATCTCTGAATTTTGGATATGTTTGGGTCTATATCCCTTTAAGATTTGCATTACCCTTCTTTATTAATCAATACAGTCTACGTTTTCAATTAAACTTGGTAACAATGGAATTATTGATGAGACTGGAGGTTAGGTTCTTTTATTCACTTGATTGATAAACCGGTTGCATACGAAACAAATTTTTCAATATACCAGTCAGAAAACATCTGGATAACAACAAGGCAATATTTCTAACTGTTGGTGTATGGACCAAAAACTGTTCAGAATTGAATAACAACTAATTGTGAATAATAATTTGTTCAGTTCTTTACATCGGTCAATTCGGTTCCTTTGTACTGTATATAAATTTATTACTTCGTCACCAAAACCATGTATCTGTAAATATAGGCCCTGATTAATAAACTATATTTACAGTCCAGGAACTTCCCTTCGAAACACCCCGGAATGAGAACTTTAATCATTCTAAAACTTTTTAAAAATTTAAAAGCGTTGATTGACTACTCAAATCGGTCTCATCTAGAATAGCTTTTATTGATCTCCCCTTAAATATGCCTTATATGCTTATTAGGTGCGTCGTAAGATACAAAGAGGACTGTTTGAAGGTTCTGTCTTGTTTGGACAAGCTATACCTAACAAAAACAATACCATATTTCCTGACCAACATCGAACCAGGACCAATTCGAAGTGATTGGAGATCACTGCGTAGTGCATCTTCTAATAGTAATCGATATGAAAAAGATATTTTTTTAACGTAAATAATTTCAAAGATGCGCTTGCTATATTAGTTCTAAAAGGTGCCCTTAGTCGAGAGGTCCCATTCAGGAACGAGTTTGGTCTGGGGTCTAGAATTAAACATCCTTTTATAAGGAGACATACAACAGGGTGCTGCCCTATGGGACAATTGTCTACCATGGAAAGGGCAGAACAAAGCATTCACCGATAACCTGCAATTCTGGAGTCCGTTGTCGAACAAAGACGATACGAACTCTATGACATCATTCAAAGATACTCGATATGAATTAATTTGCCGTCCAGTGCACCAGCAACTAAATCTGTTGAACTTGCAAGTCTAGTCCTTCTGCGTTCCCTTGCGCACTGATGCGGCGAGAAGTTTTCTTGTCGATTCCGAAAATCAACGACTTCGGTTAACTCAGAAGTTCCCGCATGAACGGCAGCTGCAAAAGGGTGGCAATGGATAGATGGAGTAGGTCCGTGTACCAGTGTCACCGGGCCATTTCGGGGCAATCAAATTGACATTGAAATTGCCGCATGTGTTGCAGGACTTTTGCAATTAGACATATCGGGGGGAAGGCATATCCGTTGAGATTCTCCCAGGACATCGTTAGAGCGTCCAGAACCGGAGACTTTAGGGGAGGGTACCACGAACAAAGATCTGCGTTTGTCATTGTCCGCGGATGCGCACAGATCTACAAGAGGGAGAGATCGTCTCTGAAATAGAGTTTGGACTAATCCCTTGTTCAATGGCTATTGTGTGGATTGCGACTCAGTTGATCTGCGGAAATGTTCGACTTTCCGGCAATGTGGGCTGTCTGAAGTGAGATATTGTTTGTTGTGGCCAGATTCAAAGGTCCAAAGTTTTGGAGCACAAGGGTTGAGTCCGTGTCCCACTCGGTTTGTTTATGTACTGTACACTGTGGAATTGTCGCATCTTAAAATTACCAATCGATTCCTGATGAATGGCAAGAAATAATCTATAGACAAACCGCTTCCAACTCAACTCTTGCGAGACTTTAGTTTGTCCTGGGGTGACTTTTGTTAGGAGAGTTCCTAAAGCTTGATGAATGTATAGCTAATCGCAACAATACCAAGCCGAGTTGTTTGTAATTTTGTATTCATCTCTCTAAGGTGATAAGCGATATAGATTTATCTAACGAAAGATTCATAGTCGAAAGCAAATTCGCCATAATTTTGAAGCGAAAATCTTGTGAATACGTAAACAATAAAACGTGTAAGTAAAGCAGCAAAGTGTTTTAATAATTGAATCAAAGCTACAGAGTAAAAAGCAAAATGGAGAGAACACAAATACCATGTGTGCGTTTTTACGCTGGAAGATAAACTGAAGGTGGTACTGGTGAGCTTGACAGGGGGCGGGGCCCGGCACAGGCAATGCTTTTATTAAGTAAATTCATAAAAAAATTGAAGTTATATGCTTTTTAGGGGGTGGGGTCTTGATTGCCAATACACTAGCTACATATTTATATATCCAAATGTATTCTGAATGATAAATATAACGAATGAAATGAAATATAAAAGCATGCTGATAATATTTTGTTTCCCACACGTACTAGGGTATATACTGATCTTGTTTAATCAGTCATTAATATGGGTTTGTAATGATATTGTTATGATTACTATAATTGATATGTATTCCATTACTACATCAGAGAAATATCTGATCATGTAATTTACATACGGTTATTATATTTCATAATGTGCTAACTGCTTTCTGATATCAGAAGAAGGCCATATTAATGGATTAATTAAGTACTTGCCTGCTCGTGATTGCGAACGTTTAAGAAGTGAGAAACAGGCCTATTTCATGCAGTAACAGTATAATGGTAGCCTACTTCTTCACTCTGCAATACATGTAAATCTTTGCCAATATTCTATTCTCACATTGAAATGAAATGACATGAATGGAGTTTTACGTCCTACTTTTCTGTTCTCACATTGAGATAAGATAGATAAGATTAATTGCATGTACGTCTCTTGTGAGCAGCATACAAATATAAATTAACTATTGAAAAACGGTTAATATTATGATTAAGCATTTTTCAATAATTACTTAGTTTTATGAATTTTCAAATTTTCTAGATTTAACAGGGATTATGTTGTAACTTTACGACACCAGGTAAGTTCACTGATGAATATATACTCATTGACCATTCTTGAGAATTAAATTTCATGTTCATTCTAAGACGTAGTATCACTTTAAGGGGTATGTACGCCGTTTTGTACAGAGTGAACAGATAATTCACTCATTTAGCATTGTGTAAAGTGTATCCATTTGGCATGTTGTAAAGCAAGCTGCAAATCGACATGATCGCTGCATATTGTATTCGATCATGCATCAACTTGCAGATCCACAAATAACGGATTGTTCATCAAATAGAGAAAAGAGAATAGCACAAATAATTATGTTAGGATTAATTTTTTTCTTGATTTTTTATTTAAATATCATACAAAAAGTTTCAACAATAACAAATAATTATGACCTTTAAATTGTTGTTTTGCATAACTTAAAGCGTTCAGAATATTTTTGAGCTTCGCGAGTGGATCGCGAAGACTAGATCTTCAAGGGAAAGGAGGTATGTGCACAAACTCAGTCACTCGCTGAAACAGATCACACTCATTCAACAGATCCAGATCTTAATACTCATTATTAGCTTAGAAGCATTTTCTGTGGACGATTGCTGGGCCAGATTCGTCATATTCCTGCTTGGAGATCCACATCTGTTGGAAGGTTGAGAGAGAAGCCAAGATAGAACCACCAATCCATACAGAGTATTTTCTCTCAGGTGGAGCGATGATTTTGATTTTCATGGTAGATGGAGCCAAGGCTGTGATTTCTTTCTGCATTCTGTCAGCAATACCTGGGTACATGGTAGATCCTCCAGATAATACAGTGTTGGCATACAAATCTTTTCTGATATCAACATCACATTTCATGATAGAGTTGTAGGTGGTTTCATGGATACCAGCAGATTCCATACCCAAGAAAGATGGTTGAAACATGGCTTCTGGGCATCGGAATCGTTCGTTACCAATGGTGATGACTTGACCATCGGGTAGTTCGTAAGATTTTTCTAAGGACGACGACGACGCAGCTGTCTGCATTTCCTGTTCGAAATCCAAAGCAACATAACATAATTTTTCTTTGATGTCTCTGACGATTTCTCTTTCAGCTGTTGTGGTGAAGGAGTAACCTCTTTCTGTCAAAATTTTCATCAAGTAGTCGGTCAAATCTCGACCAGCCAAATCTAATCTCATAATGGCATGGGGAAGAGCATAACCTTCGTAGATGGGAACTGTGTGTGTTACACCATCTCCAGAATCAAGTACTATACCAGTGGTACGACCAGAGGCATATAGGGACAATACAGCTTGGATAGCTACATACATAGCTGGTGAATTGAAGGTTTCAAACATAATTTGGGTCATCTTTTCTCTGTTGGCTTTAGGATTGAGTGGAGCCTCCGTGAGGAGGACGGGATGTTCTTCTGGGGCAACTCGAAGTTCATTGTAGAAAGTGTGATGCCAGATTTTCTCCATATCATCCCAGTTGGTAACAATACCATGTTCAATTGGGTATTTTAAGGTGAGGATACCTCTCTTAGATTGAGCTTCATCTCCTACATAGCTGTCTTTCTGTCCCATACCAACCATAACACCCTGGAAACACAAAATATGAAAATACTTTTAGATAATACTAGTATAAAAGTTTAACCACAATAATACGTATTTGCACAATTTGTTCCAGTTAAAGTATAGTTTTAGGCCAATTAGTTATATTAATTATTGACTGTAGTAACTAGACTTAGTTAGATCGAATATCTATATCAATTTTCTGTATTTCAGGTATAAATATAGCTTGCCAGGCAAGGTAACATACGCCCACTGGCAGCTTTGATTTTGAATAACAATATTTGGCAGTACAGTAACAATCACTAGTATGAAATATTCAACCTTCAGTCTTACACTTCTTTTGAACTATTGAGGGCGATGCTGAAAGATAAAACCAAGTTTTGTCAAATCCGGAAAGGAATGTGCCTTTTAGTGTTTCAGAGCTAAAATTTGAAAGCGTTTTCAAGAAAGATATCAATAACTCCTATAAAACATTTTGTTCATCCATGGGTGATAATAAACAATTTTACCAAGTTTCTTCAAAATTCGCCAAGAATTGTGCCTTCTAGAGTGTATATGAGCTACAAATTGAACGAGTTTCCAAGAACAAGGGCAATAACTCATACTAAATATGTTTAAATTCTTCTAATTCCCAATATGGTTCATCCTTAGGCGAATACAAACACTCAAACCAAGTTTCATCAAAATCTGTCAAGAATTGTGCCTCTAAAAATTAAACGCGTTTTCAAGAACAATGGCAATAACTCATATTAAATATTTTTCGATTCTTCTGATTTTCGATAGGATTCATCCTTGGGTGACAACAAACACACCAAGTTTTGTCAAAATACGTCGAGAATTGTGCCTTCTCGAGTATTTACGAGCTAAAAAAATTAATGCGTTTTCATGAACACATACTAAATATTTTTTGATTCTTCTTTTTATAAATAGGCACATCCTTGACCTTGGCTTGGGTAATTACTAACACTCACACAAAATTTTGTCAAAATCCGCCAAGTATTGTGTAGAGTGTTTACGAGCAATTGTGGGCGGACAGACGTGATGGCAATATACGCCCTCACTCCCCGATTTCATGTCTCCAGAAAATTTTTGCGCCAAAAAATGATTATTACAGTTCTATGTAACTACTTCTACTAGTTCTTTCTACATCCCAGTCCACGCACCTGTCGTTGCTTATCCTACTCAAACGTTACATAGTGGCCTGGCATGGCATGGTGTTCGGCCTATCTTTAAGAGTTTGCCATATTATATTTTGGCCTTTATTTCCATAATACAAGTTTAACTATACCGAAGTTGATAAAACTCAACCTGATCCTGTTTGAAGACGACTTTATTACGTTACGTTGACGTGGGGTCAGCCATTTGCAATTTATCATTTCTTCACATGGTCATGGTTAGGTTAAGGCCAAATAGATCTACTAAGCATTGCCTATCCGACTACACTTCAAAGAAGATCTATAATGTGTATTTTCAAATCATGAAAGATTTCAAAACGTGGCCTTGGCCTTACCTGATGTCTGGGTCTTCCGACAATGGAGGGGAAAACAGCTCGAGGGGCATCGTCTCCAGCAAAACCTGCTTTGCACATACCAGATCCATTGTCTATAACAAGTGCTGCAACTTCTGACATATTGAAAGCTTGGTTTTTATGTAACTTTTCTCAAAATACGACTAAAGTGATGAGGCGTCCTTCTACAGGCTTCGACTTCTGAGTCCAACTCAATCTATCGATCAACCACGAGGTTTGTATCTCTTACTATGTAGGCTAACACCGTTACTAGGTGACTAACAGTCTTGCCTTATATGGATATTCAACCTCGCCCCATTCAAATGATTTCTAGGAAAGCCACGACCAGTTCTCATTACATGTCCTTTTATGGACATAACAGGAGAAGGAATTAAAGTCCATTTATAGCCGACCAATCAGCTGGCGTTAAAGTAGGGGATCCCCTCTGATATACATAATAATGTTCATTAACAATAAAGACCTGGGAAAACACCGTATATCAAGTGGTTTCATATCTCACGCTAAATAGGTCAGTTTGACATTAAAAAGGCATGTCGCTTTGTAAGACGGTTGGATATAAATATATAGTCAAACAACATACTACATGTTCTTCTAATGATTTGTGTAATTTAATGAGGGCCACTTGATTATTCATTTATTTAATTTCTCTATGTAATATTGTATTTATACGGTATATGGCTGTAGGTCATTGATAGCCTAATTTATTTTAATAATGCTGATTGAGTGTCTGTCTTCTTCGATTCGTCGGGTCTTCTCAGTTTCAGTCTTAGTTATAGTTCCTCTTAGGTTAGCATTGACCCTACATTATTTCAATAAAACCTTTTGGTTAAAAAAAAATGATCGGCTTCGTGTAATAATATGTAGATACAAGACTGTTTTACCAATATGAGCGAGTGAGACTACTACTAAGTTTTTAAAGGGCCATTTTGATTTACGAAAATCATTTAAAAATAATTTTACTCACAGAGTATCTTAAATTGACAAGTCGTCATTTCAACATTCAATCGCGGATAATTCTCGACACACATGGATTTGAAGGCTCAAATTTCGATGGTTAATTTTGAAAACTATATCTGATTGGTCAGCTAAAATATTCCTGTTTCTGAGACTAAAGTAACTGTCCCTTTAAGGGCATCTGTACATGGCCAGAGATGCTTCACAATAATTCCGTTTCATTAAATCTCAAGAGCCAAGAATCTAAGAGAGATTGTGAAGGGGTTTTCTCAAATTTAAAAAAATAAGCGTGAACGTTAAATGATGAGGGAGCTACAAAATACATGTAGGCCTATTTGAAATACACCTCGCCCTGATATGCAAATATGTATTAAGTTTTGTTTTGCGCAATTTCAAACGATAAAATTAAGTAAATACTCACAGCAATTTGAATGTTAGAAATCGGTTGAAAACTAAGAGAGTAATAGCATATTCAAGATTTTGGGGCAAGGGCAATAACTCTGCTTCTAAAACGGTCGAAAATAGCTCAAATTCGAACTTGATCTTCGCTTTATGAATATGTATACTCATACCAAATTTCATTTGGTTCCATCAAAAAATCTAGTTTTTAGAGCGTTTACGAGCAATTGATGTTGATAGAAGCACTTACAATATAGAGGTTAAAGGGCGATAACTCCTCAAAACTGACGTAAGAGGCCTAAATCTTGAAAAAGCCTTGAATTTAATCAGAATTAAACTAAACTTTCTTAAACCTTTTGATTTAGGTCCAATGTGGGCGTATAAAAAGCACTAGCCATCTTTCCATTGTTATTCGGAAAACACTGCTCTCTCCTGGAACAGTAGTCATGAATGCGTTATGCGTCATTAAGCTACATCAGCACAGTCCGAGGGAGTTGACATCTTCAGAATGACTAATTAATAATTAACGTCTAACTGCATTTACAAATTTCTGTTATACATGAAAAGTAATTATTAATATAATTTTGGTATTGATATTGGAAAGACGATTAAAACACAATCTGTCAGAAATAATCAACATTCAGATCACGATAAGCATTTCTGAACTAGAAAATGACACCAAGTTCGATGATGCTTAGAGATTTCGATACCCAAATACTTCTTCTTTGGACTACTTCTACGTGCCAAATTCACTGCGTTTCCCTAATCATGTCTTGGAGCAGGAAAAGCAGCTATAGTGTGTTAATTAGATAACTAATCTAAAAATGTCGAATGCTTGTCTCCAGGCCGATCTATCTTAAGACCGCTATTTTATATATTCGTCTCGATCAAGATCGTTTCGGAATATAAATGTTAGTCTGCTTTTGCACGTCACAAGTTAGTTTGTCATTTGTCAATATTAGCTCGGTGGCGTTGTCTCGAGGCTGCGTTGTTTAGAAATACATTAAAGAGCTAAGAGAAAAACCTCAGTCACATCCGACGTGACCACTTTGTACTGAATGGTATGGTCAACGTCATTGCGATGAAACAATCTGGGTGGAATAACCAAACTTACTGGACTCACTCTACTTTAACATTTTATGCAGGCTATTCTTAGAAATCTGCTTTCTCTCTCCCTTTTGAGGTTTTTGCATGCCTATTTTTGAGTAATTTTTGGTCTAAAGGCGGAAGGCTAATTCTTAAAATAGTCGTTTTGTGCCAAACTCTAGCGGATGAGTATAACCGATAGTAGTCTACTTTCAATTTTAGTAGCTCAAAATTTTCACGGTCATCATATCATATTGAATTTTTTAGGAGACATCAGGGGTTGGTCAGGCTTTCATTCGACATATTGGAAAGCTTTCAACGAGATTTATGGAAAAAGTTGTCGAAGGTTGAATTTTGTGTTTTGATATGGGAAGAGATGGCAAATGAATTAGTGGAGTGAGTCCTACTGATTTTCATGAAAATCTTTCATCAGTTACGTCACTTGAACTTGAACTCTATCGGTCGCTGTATTTTTGTTGGCGTTCTTAAATTGTTTGCTGTGTAGAACGTGCAGATATATGACAGTTGTGGGGTGGGTTTTAAAAGTCAACCGCGCCTACCGCTGCCAACCGGCATACCGGAATGAAAAAAAGGCGCTAAAATGAGCATTGTTAAATTTAAGGATCGTAAATTACTTCCCTTAACTTTTTACTGTCGTCGGGAACATGGAGCATCAAGGCCAAGGAATCTTTCTTCCACCTATAAGAATTTTTTCAAAATTAATCGTAGACTATAATAATTCTGCGAATGCTCCTCCAGTTAATCCAACAGAATCATCGATATATGTAGTGGATACAAATCTTCACCAAGATTGGAAGCACACTTCCAGTACTTGGAAAATCAGGTGTCCAAATATAGAACCTTTAAAGAAACCTGATTTTTCCAAGTACTGGAAGTGTGCTTCAAAATATCTCAAAGCAAAAAAAGAAATTTTATTTTTTTTCATTTTTAAAATAATTTTGATTCCATAATATTGACGTCAACAAAAATTCCGTCAAATTGAATAGTTTCGTTTTTTCGTATGAAAATCTACGATCCTTAAATTTAAGAATGCTCATTTTAGCGCCTTTTTTTCACTCCGGTATGCCGGTTGGCAGCGCTA